GACAGTATATAATCTGCGTGGTTAGTTTGAACCAGATCATGAAGACGAAAGTGCTCAATACACACGTAGAGCAATATAAAAGTAATCAAAGACACTAGTGTACAAATTCAACATTTTATTTTGCACTACAGACTGTTTCATGAGGGCGCACAGCACCTGATGATTGAGGCTGTGCCCTCATGAAACAGTCTGTAGTGCAAAATAAAATGTTGAGTTTGAGTAGGCCTATTCTTTAACGCAAATGAAAATGTAATTCATTTAAAAAGAATCATACCTAGTGAAGTGAAGTGGCTTGTAACTGTCGATTTCTTTTTAATATGAACACAATGTTGAAGAAATTATAGTTGTTTTGTCTATTTATTTCTGATATCGTATGTGTTTAGTGTGTTTCAGTATTAATTAAACGCAACTTATCATTATTAAGATGAATTCCAATCAATAAATCAATGTGTTTACCTTTTTTAAGTTGATATTGAGCCGAACATAATTGTAATAAGACGGCAACATCCTTAGCTAAACAAACATTTGGGTGAGAACGGTGAAGACGGGTGACAAATCAAAAGGCAAGCAATTTGTGGCAAATGACCTAATTGCAAGTGGCCGGGTGGCAAGTGACTGAGTTAAAGACTCGGAAGAAAAAAATACATTGAATGCTCAAGGCTGTAATACACGTGACTAAATGAGTTGGTAGCATTTTTATGACAATAAAATTATTTGCCCTAGTCGATTCTACCAAAATACCATAATGTATTTACTTGAATAATTACTAATACGTCTACTAAAAATTACATATCGGCTTTATTAGAGCCAATATATTAAATGTGTGTTCTGACAAATTTGACACCACAATCTTTTCAATAGCCCAAAACGTTACAGAGATATTGTGGTTTAATTTAATTTAATTTACTTGCCTAAACAAATATTTAACATTTACAAGAATAAAAACAGCAAGGAACAAGCACAAACGAATATGAGACAGAAACGCCTCATAAGTAGACTACACCACTGTCGATTAGTACCCTTCACAACAACAACAAAAAAAATAATTCTCAAAAAAAAAAAAAAAAAAAAAAAAAAAAAAATTAAAAAAACAGATGCTTACAATATAAAATGTTGCTTAAGGATGAAACGTTAAAATTAAAAATCTGTAGTAAAACAAGAGAATTTAAAATATTAAAATTCTCAGATTCAATAAGAATTTACTTTTAAAAAATGCAAATTTAAAGTGTTGAAATATTTTGTCTTTCTCAATAAAAAAAAATAATAATAAAAGAAACAAAAATTGACGTTGAACATACAGAGATCAAATTTGATTTTCGGTAGCTTGAATTTTGTGTTCCAGCTTTACGTTCTACCACCATGACAAATGGCAGATTTGTATTCACTACTATTACATCTAAATAATATATAAAGGCCTTATATATAAAATAGGCCTACCCTTGGCTTAGATGTATCTACGGTTTCTTGACATTGTATTTGGTTTGATGCGCGCCATTCATTCTTATTGTTTAAATGGATGGTAATAATTATTTATTTAGTGTGGTCGATTTTGAGTTGACATATTATGGAAATGTGACCTATTTATATTGAATAACTACACTTCTTTTACAGCTCAGAACAAGGTAAGACTTAAATGTCACTGTTCATAATAATTCCATACAATTTGAATTTTAATTCAAATTTAGCAACCCCACAGACGCATGCGTAAAACCTCACCAAAATGTTTGCAGTTCAGGTTTGGAGCAATGCACTTTTTCTGTCGTATCAGTAATGGAGTCAGAAATGTACAATACAAAAATGATCAGTAGTACTAAACAGATAAATGCTTTACATTATATCAAAGAAATTAAATAGCAGAAGAATGAGCTGTTCTGCGAATTTGCATTAAAATTGATGGAACATTTTGTATCCCAGCTTTACGTTCTACCACCATTGACAAATTGCAGATTTCAATAAGAATTTGTTAAATGGTAGAAAAATGTTACGAAATGCCATAGGCTGTGTATAACAATACAAAATATTGTTTGAAGGTTTGCATGGCGAAGTAATAATATGTGTTAATGCTTTCGGTACACCGCGTAGATAGTTCTGAAAAGAAGAACTGTTGTTGTTGTTGGTTGGTTGAGAAATATCTCGACGTTTTAATTAAGTTGCTTCAATCGTCTTCAGGAGAATAATTATGTACACCACGGACGGAATACAGCAATGCTATAAATACACCAATCTTGAACATTTGATTGACGGGTCACTGCTATCTTGTCACACTACACTACTTTTGTACTAAACTAAAGGCAACTTTCATTGTCTGAGATTAGATTATGACTATAGCCAAATAAGGACACTTTAACACGACTTCGGTAGTGTCGAACGTAATATACGAATACAAGCTAATTCCACTTTGATTTGCTATTCAAATGGATTCAACTTTAAGTACAGAGAGATACGCTGCCTCGTTTCTTGAGTTTCGGCGAATGTCGGACCAAAGCGAACGTATGAAGTACTGGCTAAAACACAAGCTGGAAGCATTCATGGAAAACGACAAGCTGACTAGCGTAGATGAGTGTCGTATTCTTGGAGTCGGTAGTGGTGTTGGTAAGTAAATTGATTGTTTTTTATTCTGTTTATCTTTTAATATATATTTTTTTCTTACTCTTTCGTGAGAATCACGCCCACATATTTTAATTTTATTTGTAAAAAAAAAAAGAACCGCTTCTTTCAATTCTTTATTTACATTTCACAATTTCTAATTTTAAAATGAAACTAAAAAAATATCGAAATTATTACAGCAAATGTTGTAAGTGTATTTAAGATTTCCAGTAGTTTGTTTAAATACAAGTGTGGTCATTCAACTGAAACGTGTGTTTGTATTTAAACAAACTATTGAATATTATAACAGACATGGCAGTCCTGCATGCATTTGTTTTATAGATGCCAGCAAAGCCTTTGATAGAGTAAACCATTGGACACTCTTCAATATAATATTGAAAGTGAGACACTCCCTTTAACGTGATAAGGTTACTTTTTACATTTAGAAGCGGTTGGCGCATCGATTATGGCTTGGACTCAGGGTTCGAACTCTCGCTGTGCAAGTCGCTTGTGTCCTTGGGCAAGGCACTTTATCTACGTTTGTCTCTCTCTACCCAGAAGTATAAATGGGTACCTTGTAGGATATTGTGGCATTGAATGTTCTAGTTTCGTGCGCTAAGGAAGTAGCGAACGACTAGGGATATTCTCCAGAAGCAGAGAAGGTTGCACTTTGTGCTGGTTTGCCATTGTACGTTATCCAATGACCAGGGTTTGATCATTCAATTTGGAATTGGCGCCTTACAAATGTTTGGGTATTATTATTATTAAATGGACTACCCGAACATTCATCATTAGATTGGGAACTTGTTGTTCATTTGAGTTTGATGTGTCAAATGGCGTGCGTCAGGGCGGGGTTATGTTATGATGTCTTAAATAAGCAACTTCAGAATAGTCGTATAGGATGTCATATCGATTCTACCTAAATGATCAGTTTCGGCAACAAATAAAATGCTGGTACACTTCCCAGTACCAGTCATCAATCATCATCTGATCAGAATCCACTAATCAGGTTTGGTGACGTCATCATGACTATTATTCATCACCGAAACTGATACTTATCATATCATATAGGTAGAATCACGGGTCTTCATTATAATCATTTTAGTTATGTTGGTACTAGTGGCTCCATCATTAAGTGCGCTTAAGAAACTAGTTAACATTTGTGAGGAACATCCTAAATCACATGATATCATTCATAATGCAATGAAGTCAAAATGTATGTGTATCCAAACCAAAACTGGAAGTCTGAAAAGGAATCCTGTAACAATTTTAATGAACAAACCTCTAGAATGATAATGTGAAACAATTCACATAGCTTGGCCATATGATTGCGGATGATTTAATGTGTGAGGGGAAACATTTTAAGTAGACGATTTAGACTGTCTCAAAACATTATCTTTAACGCCCTTAACAAGTATATTTGTTGACTTGTCAATTCTGCTAGTAAAACTAAATACAGTACGTGCATTCACCAAACGACGGTAAGCCAGCATTAACAAAAATGTTGCTGGCACTGCAAAAACTAGGTTTCTCTAGAAACATTTTGAGACAGTTATTGTAGCAAACATTAAGAGATTTCATTGTCTTTAAATTAAAGATAGACCAAACGTTTGAACAATAGGCCTACATGTTGATACAAAAACTCCTAAAAAATGTACACTTTACTCTGAGCAGTACCTAAAACGTCTACTATGATTAATCAAATTAAATATTTGAAATATTGTCACCAAAATTATAATTATATTTTAAATTTTTATCTTAATCATCATGATTGATTATTAATAATCACAATTATTATTATTATTATTATTATTATTATTATTATTATTAATTATCATATATAGTTAATTCATTTTAATATATGTCTTACACGTTACTTCCGTAGGGGCAATCGACTGTTTCATTCTTGAAAACATTAGAAGAAAACACGATAACATTTTCGTCCGTGTCCTGGAACCAAATGTTGTTGAAATGGAGCATTTTAAGAACCACGTTCGTTCCAATAAACTCTACGACATGGTAAAATTTGACTGGAGACTTCAAGACGCTTTAAAATATCTCGTACGTTTTATATATAGGCCTATATATATATATACACATATATATATATATAATATATAATATAATATATATTTATATATATAGTTCATTGATTGATTTATTGATTAATATTTTATATATTTATTTTGTATTTTATGTGATAACACTTTCAGTAACATGGTACTGGTTTCAAAAGTGGATCACAGATCAACACAAAAAAAATCACAATACAGTAAACAAATCACTAAAAATTATTACAAAACAAGATATACAATTGAGACAAAATTAAACTAAAGAACATAATTATACAGTAAATCTAAAAGCAGTAAAAAGGAAAATAACTATGTACATTGAGTAAGGCAAATGAACGATTAACGGATATACTATAAATACTGTAGTTTTGAAAACAGTATATTTATTAAACTTAAACTTTTTTATTAAAAATGCAAGGTTAGTTCATTAAGTTTAGTCTTTATGTTGTTTGGAAGATTATTCCATGCCTTGGTTGCCTATATAGAATTGTCCTTTCGCCTTATACTCGTTTCCAATTTATCTCCATTAGGTGGTTGTTTGACTTATTTCTTGTACACCATGAGTGACTATTGTTGTTAAATACAAATTTGTTCATTTAGGTGATTGTTAGTAGTATTAGACGAAATACAGTTACAATAATTAAAAAAAAGGGCATAATAAGTGATTTGATAGCATTTGTTGTTTGACACGGGAATGACACCAATTCTTTTAGGTATTTTAGATGACAATTTGTCAATATGTATAGCCCATGTTAAGTTGCAATCAAAATGTATGCCGAGATATTTGATAGTCACTACCTTTTAAATATTAATATTTTTATAGCTAAGGGAAATTTCTGAGAATTTAGGAAGTAGGTAGGTTTGTTAGTATTTAATGTTAAATTATTGTTTATGAACCACTCGTTTACAAAATTAAAGTGTTTGAAATTCAATTTGAAGTTTAACAGGATACAGTAGAATTGCAAAAAAATAGTTATATCGTGCGTATATCTGATCAGCATTAAACTATATTGAGGTTTTAACATCTTACAAGTATGAATATGATTATAATTTTAATCTTATCGGACCAAGGCCTAATTATGACATAATGATATTAATATCAATGATGATGCAATACGCCAACACTTACTTTATGTTCATTGATGAATCTGTTCTTTGTAATGTTAAAATGTATTGTCCTCTGAAAATGACAAAAATTCATACAAAAATAATTTTGAAATTGACATGTTGATTTAGAAGTAACAAAAAAATTATTAACTTGTAGAACTTCCAGTGACTGGAAGTGTTTCTATCATTTTTTTGCTGTAAAAGGATGGTTTATATGGGTAAGCATTTTTTAAATACACTAATTTCTATGTTCAAGTTAATAATTTTTATGTTACTTTATAATGAGCTTTATAGTGGAACAGAAACGAAAATGTAGACATTCAAGTAAAATGTGTTGAATTTAACTTCTTACACTAAACTGAGTGGTTTTTTTTAATTTTTTTAATTTTTTAAAGTATTTGATATTAATTTGCATTACCCATTTACGTATTTTATTTTTATAGAAGAATCCTCCGGACAAACTATTTCACATCATACACCTATTCCATGTACTATATTATTTTGACGAAAGTGAGATTGATGACGTCATTCAACGATGTTATAATCAATTGGAAAATGGTGGCCATCTACTAATCATTCAAGGATCATGTAAGATATTTCTATCAAAAAAATATTTATGTATATGTATTTTAACAACATGTATTTATAATAACAATAAAATTAAACTATCTTCCCCAATAGCATCCAATACGGCGCTGTGCATTCGAAAAGCATTTTGTAATGAGCTGAATCTGAAGGGGAAGCTAAACTCAATTCCGGGTGAAGATCTGCTGTATAAAATCAACGCACTTGGCTACGCGTACGATAGCAACGACATCCGGGCATCTCTAGACGTCAGCATATGCCTTGACCTCAACTCAGAGACTGGGAGCCTTCTTTGGGACTTTATAACTAGTGTGCAAAAGTTTCTTGAAAGCTCACCTAAAATACTGGTTTGCAAAATGACAGAAACACTAAAAGCAATGGGATTTATGTATGATGGTCGAACATTTATTCACGTTGATTCTCTTGGAATAAGCATACAGAAATCACTTTCGTCATAGTTTAAAACCATATGAATCATTAAAAGACGTTACCTTTTCACCGTTCATTTACCCACGTAAAGTGACAGCCTGCCTGCATAAACATCACTCACTCGTATGATACTTTACCAATGAAGTTAAATGAAGCTCGTCAAAATAATTTCCGTTGTTTTTTTTTTCTTGATGTATGCTATAATTTAAAAGTCGTTTTTAGTATGATAAAGAAGTTTATCATACACATATATAAATAGACTTTTAAAGTCCATCACCGCTACATGTCATATTGCGACACCAATTAAACCTATAGTCTGGAATTTTGCAAACATGAAGAATTCTTTCGATTTTTCTGTCACTGGAAGATATAAATGAGTAATTGTACTTTTAAATTAAATTGTCTAAGTGTTTTCAGTATTTTATCACGGACAGTTATATATGTAGTAATATACTATTCATTGATGTAAAATAAAAAATATGTCCAGTTTGTAACATGGCGTTATTTGAAGACAGGGATGTTTTCGGCGGGAGGTACACTTCTCGCTATTTCAACCATTGTTCCGAGGAAAATCGCATACCGGTACTCAATAAGAGGTGTGGTATATGTTATTTGTCATCTAGGCTAATTAATTTCTACAATTGCTTGAATTGTAAATGAACACAGCAGCAAGTGGCAAGGTATTTCAGTAATCGTTGAAATAATCTGATTTAAGGTTTATATTCTATGCCTTTAATCGCATTAAAACAAATTCACACGAATGACAAATCTACGGACTTAGTTTCGACTGAATATAATGACTTTAAAAGTAAAGACTGCCTCGGGCATTTTTTTTTTCCGTGGGGATCACCCACTTTTATTTGTCCTCTTTTTTTTCATGATTTTCAATTTTTCGTTTTCTCTCCTATTATACAGTGATCTTATACTGTACCAATATTTACATATGTGTCACAATTCACAACAATTATGCAACAAAATTAAAAGAAAAATTAATTGAATTTCATAAACATAGACCTACTTTTTTGTTTTAGTAGGAGAAAATTGCACATTTCCAGTAATTCTATGTTATTACATTTAGTTAAATCTTTAGTTCTGCATAAACACACACACCCACCCACATAAAATTACATATATAAAACATACTTATAAATATATATATATATATATATATATATATACGGTATATATGTATATATAAATACATACACATGCACATACATATACACAAACACGCACACATACCTCAAAAACTACCGTAATTCCTCCATGTCTATACATAAATATAATATATGTATAATACACACACACATGCGAACATACAAATATTTTCATTATTTCTTTTTTCCCCTTATTCTTTTTTGGTTTACAAAATGATGTACAGCACCAATATCATAATGTTTACAATGCACACAAATTCTAAAACCATAATTTATGACTGCCTCGAACATATTAAATTGTACACTTTTGCCGGGATTAAACGTGAGGGTCCTAATAATTTTATGGAATTTTATTTTAATGTCTTTTTTTCAAAACAACAACCAACAGCGAATAAATTAGCCAATAAAAGGAGGGTTGACATGAAATATGAAATACAAAACAATAATTAACATAAATAGCCCTAAAAAGTAAATAAAAGATAATTATAGTAAACTTAAAACTTCATACTTAAACTGATTGAAAAAATAAGAAAATACATCAAGACTATTATCTTGAACTAATAACGAGTTATATAATTTACTTAATCTACAAAACAACCCATTTTGACTAGCACTAACCCTCCCGAAATGAACATAACAAGTAGGTTTACATTTTAATCTACGAGATGTCACATTGATAAAGAAACATGAAATAAGATTACAATCAAAATTACTATGTACAGCATTATAAAGAAACTTAAGATCAAGAAAAGCTCTACGTACTTTGGGAGATAAACAATTTCTGAGATTGACTATCTCAGTCTGATTATATGAAACAATACGCATAAAACGATAATGAAATCGCTCAATGAGATTAACATGAACAGAAATAATTGAATTATAAATAACACAACCAAAATCAAGAGAAGGTCGAATTAAGGTTTGATAAAGTGAATCCGCCCCTGTAACAGAGATGCAATTGCCCAAATGAATGCTCCTTATCTGTTAAGCAACAACTGGAGGCGATTTTATTTAGCGACTCAACAACCGGAGGCGATTTTGTTTTGCGACTTCTGGATGGGACTCGGGCTGTCTCAGACTAACTCGACTCGATACGACACCGTCTTAATATTGGAGTAGTGTACCAACAAACAATCTCAAGAGAAAAGGACGCCCACAAAATAGAAACGTCTAACAGACAACACTTAGACAACTGGAAGTAGATATAATGGACATAATAGCTCATTTCTTAATGAGAAAAAAAATAGGACAGTCTTTAGCTAATACAATAACTGGCTAAGGACATACATACCTATAAGACGACAGCATGAAAAATGAAATTAAATTATTATATTAGCTAAGTACAAATCATATTATTCCAATATTAACAAAAGACGCAACCTATGTTTGCCACATTATGACAATGTATTATCGCCTAAAAATTACCGAAAATCATACAAAATTCATTTTAAGATTGAGGTACTCATTCTAATGTAAGCTAAAAATTATTAACTTAAACATGTTCACTATCTCTAACATATAATTCAAAGCAGGACAAAATAAAAGTGGGTGAAATCGTCCTCTTCTTTAAACAAATTTGAAAAAGAAGAGTACCATAACATGATTATTTTTTATTAATAATAATATAAAGTTCATTAGCAAATTTGCCTTATTACACTTGGAAATTTATATAAATAATAAAAAGCGAGATTCAACATTAGTTTGACATTTTCGTGCCTTGCCTATAAATACAAGTCTTTAACATATATATATATTATATATTATATATATATATATATATATTATATATATACTTATATATATGCATTCGTATATACATATCAATGTATTATCAATATAAATATCTATATCTATGTCGTATATACAATTCGTATAATAATTCGCATATAAAATTCGAATAAATATCAATTTGTCAATGTACGAAATCCCAGTGGATCGACCCAGGTGGAAAAAGATAGTAATGACGGGAGACGAAAAGCGTAATTTTTGATAATGATATTCAATTCGGAACACAATTTCAAACTTTAGGCCAATTAGGACCTAATATTATTTTTTTATTTGTATACATATTATCAAATAGTATAGAATTGCAGTACTCTTTGATATTACTGTTTAATGACTAGGTATAGACACTTATTCCCAATAATTTTCTAAGGTTTCGTTCTTTTCCTTTCTCTCTCTTATTTCTGGGACCTTCGGGCAATTTGTGTTACATTGGTTGAAATCTGACCTTCTAATTGATCCCAAACACCTTTACAGCTTGTGCCTCCTTTGTTTGCATTCTCATTATATGTATACAATTTTCAACAGAGGATTCTCTCAGTGGAAAGATAAGTTGGTCGTTGGTGCTACCACAAATCAAAGAATAGGAGCCTACCTGTTAAAACTCCAGTGCAGCGTAGGTGATCTCTTTAATCAGATCTTGTAATTGTTTTGTAAAAATATATCGCATCAGACGTTCCGATACACTAGGCAAAATCGGGTGTTAACGAAGTTTTGTTCGGTTGTTCGTGTCAGGTATGTTGTAAATTATTTTTATTATTATATTTATGAAATAATATGCCTAAATATAAGTTTAAACATACCGGATGTAGTTATAAGAATGAGAGGTAAGTACTTCTATGTTCAGAAGATTATTTCAATAGGCCTACAACGAATAGAAATAAAATGTGTGTTTTATATTTAGATTAATGAATCTCTGGAGCAATGTCGTTGGTACCCCTGACGGAAAATGAACATCATTATTCCGAGGCCTTTAAACAATTTTGTAAGCATCTGACCAAGGATATTCAATGAAACAGTGGATACTATGATCTTCCCAGTGTTATTCATTCTAACCCGTCTAGAGTAAAGCTTGTGGATACAAATGTTATTCAGATATACCTAGAAACAATGGACATAATAGCTCAGGATTTAGGCCTATGAACCAAGGCCTAAATATAAGTTAAACATACTGGATGTACTTAAGAATGAGAGGTAGGTACTTGTGTTTAGGAAATACTTCAGTACACAGTATATAGAAATAAAATGTGTGTTTTATGTTTAGGTTAATGAATCTCTGGAGCAATGTCGTTGGTACCCCTGACGGAAAATGAACATCGTTTTGCCGAGGCCTTTAAACAATTTCGGAAAGCATCTGATCAAGAATCTTTAATGAAACAGTGGATAGTAGATGATCTTCCCAAAGTTATTCATTCTAACCCGTCTACAGTAAAGTTTATGGATACAAATGTTATTCAGATATTAGGAATTGGCAGTGGTTTTGGTAACTATACAATTTTATTATAATTGATTTATCTTATTTACGTAAGTATACAAAGATTTTGAAGAGAACATAATTTCGAAAATAAAAGGCAGTAAAAGCAATTGTCCTCATCGCTTAAATTATAAGCGACCGTATGTTTTCGGGTTGGTGGGTGAGGCGGGGGTGATTTTTGGTATATTTAGATTCTGCTTGAATCTTTCTTTAAAACAGTGTATATTTGACGGACATTAGCGAAGTTATGCATATTCAATTCATTTGATATCAGCTACGTAGGTTTTGAGGAATCAGCGTCATAAGATTCCAAAATCAATAATTTATCATTAAGATTTGTATTTTAAAAATATTTTTTTAAATACTTTCGGTTAGATTTAGTGACTAATATTTTGCATAAATATTCTTGAATATGTATTTTATAAAATGCAAAAACCTGAAAATATTTAAATTTCTGATTCTCGAACGTTTTGATAAGAAAGAATATAATAATGGGAGGGTTGCCGATTGAGATACTGAGCTTCTTTTTAAATCTATCATAAATATATTTAATTGTAACTGATTTGAAATATGAACCGATTCAGTAGTTAGTTTAATACTACTTGTACAGGTGTGTACCAAGAAATCAATAAAAAAAAAAAAGCTGAGACATCTATAGATATAAATTTAACGTTTCAAATAATAAAACAGGGTCCCAGTACTATATCAGCTGAATAATATATTTTTATAATAGTCTACCCTAGTTCTTAATTATAGGCTGCCTGCTTTGGCCCGCGAGGAAAAGCAAAATAGTTAAAAAAAATATTTGAAACAGATTCAAAATAATAATCATTCGATGAATACATTTTCAGCGAAGTAAAGACAAAAATGCAACCCCTGGGTCATGTGTACTAACAACTTTACTGGAAAGCAGTATGGAGATATCTAAAAAGAGCAGGATATAATAGGTCATAAATAACATATACGGTAAGCCTATGTACATCGATTTTATACACCGTCAAGTTTTGTCTCTCTGTTCTGACTGTGTTTTGTCAATGTTTGCAATTAATTTTACATGTTTAATAAAAACTTGGTCTAAGAACCGTGCTCATAAAAAGTACAATGCGGAATGTAGCTACCAGAATTAATGTTCATGTTAATTATATTTTTCAAAAGAAAAACCTAGGCCTTTTTATTGGCATGAAGCTAACTGACTGACTCACCCATATAATTTCAACGACTGCTACAAACTAGGCGAAAATTATTTAGGCCCGTGAGATCAACAAATTTGGCCCTTCAAACGAATTAATTTAGAACTAGTGGTACTCTATACAAACAAGAATTTCTTCTTCAAGATAACAAGAAAACCTAAGTTTATATTTTTAATTATATTATGTTAATTTAAAGAAATAGACTTGCGGAAACTACACGTGAATCAAAAATCACCTAAACATTCAAAAAGATTAGGGAAACTGAAGTGTCTCACCACTCGCTGAGTTCATTCATTATTTGAACAATACTCTAGGCCTCAAAACTGTGAACCACCAATGTCACACCCCTACTTAAGTATAATGTTCCTTGTAATAATAATACGTTGTTTGAAGTGGCTTGAAAAAGTTCACCTCCTGCTATTAAATATCACAAATAAGTACCCTTAGAATGTGTTTTTTTCTCACTAAGGTTTTTCATAGTTTAGGTTTACAATTGTTGAAAATATACTTCTTTATTATCATGATCCAATTAATTGTAAAGGCTACTTGAATACTCTTCTAGAAGCTCAGTATCTGATATGGTGCCAGTTACACGTGTTCTATAGTGTATCTGTTAATTATCTTATGTTTTTAGGTCTGGTTCTGTTTGGGAAAGCCGACCTCCATATGTCAGAGTATAACAGAAGGGTATAAGTTCGAATGATGAAAAGTCCATCACCGCGCAGCGTCAGTCATGGACAGGCTTGTCGTACCAACTCTGGCCCCTTAGCATTATTAGGGACTGGTCCTCATTGTAGGGGTTCATCCTCATTAATATTATGCACTCATCATTAAACTATATTTTTAAGTTTGATTGTAATATAATCTAACCTTAAAAATTATCCAACTAAAATTCGTTTATTGACGAGAAAGATAATTATAATTTATGTCTAAAGTAATACATTTTTTAAAATCTCTAACGTTTAAAGGCTTATTAATTATTCCAAAGGAAATATGGATATGCTAATATTTGATGTCTTTGGGAATAACAACCAGAAAGTGAACGAAATTGTACTGGAACCAAACAAAGTCGAAGTTGAGAAGTTTAAATCTACAATTAAGTCGTTGGACCAGTACAGATTTGTAAATCTCGAATGTCTTCCTGAAACAGTTGAATCATATATGGTATGTATAGTGGTGCATAATTTATCTATGTAATGTTGGTGGTTATTTTCATTGTGAGTAATATGTGGGATAGAAACCTAGACAAGACCATCTTGAAACAGGAATTATAAACACATCAGATATGTTTACGTATTTTCAATCTTTGTTGTTTCAATTAATCACTGAGCACTATCGTTGAATATAGTACAGTAACGATTTACAGTAGTACCACGCATGCTATAGGAAAGTGTAACAGTAGATTCTAACCCAGACTATTCACAGTACGGCATGCAACCAGACACGCCATCACATCCGTGAATCCACAGAGTTATTTGCACTTGTGTCATTGACAGGAAAGGTATACAATCAAAGTGAATAGCCAACTCTACATTATGCTACTATTTCAATTTCATATTACTTTATTTTCCATAATGTGTGTGTATATATAATATATAAATTGTGATATATTGTTCCTCTTAAAAATGTCCTTAAAAAAAAGAATTTAAATGTTAGTATTATTAGTTTCACATACCATCGGTATCGTATAGGCCTAATTTCTCTAATTTCATCTCCAAGAATCCATAGTAGGCCTACAATTATTTTGTTCATGGTGATTGTACTTTTTTTCATTGTGAGTAATATGTGAGATAGAAACCTAGACAAAACCATCTTGAAACAGGAATTATAAACACATCAGATATGTTTACGTATTTTCAATCTTTGTTGTTTCAATTAATCACTGAGCACTATCGTTGAATATAGTACAGTAACGGTTTACAGTAGTACCACGCATGCTATAGGAAAGTGTAACAGTAGATTCTAACCCAGACTATTCACAGTACGGCATGCAACCAGACACGCCACCACATCCGTGAATCCACAGAGTTATTTGCACTTGTGTCATTGACAGGAAAGGTATACAATCAAAGTGAATAGCCAACTCTACATTATGCTACTATTTCAATTTCATATTACTTTATTTTCCATAATGTGTGTGTATATATAATATATAATATATATATATATAGTTGTTATATATCGCTGTATATATATCACTGTATGTATACAATTTATATATTTGTCATCTGACAAGCAATACAGTTTTCTGTATTTCTATATTGACAAATAAAATGTCTACATAAGAGGAACCTTAAAAAGAAAGGTACTGGCCTCCGAGAGGAGGCCGAATTTTTTTTCTTTGTCAAATTCCTCTTCGGGTTACATTTCAATTTATATTATCCCGCTTGCTTTTTTTTTTAATGGGTTTTTTCCATGCCTTGAAATCAATTTCAATTTTAGTTGATCTCAACTGGCAGTATATAACGTTGAATTTCATGAGAATACTGTACATTTGAAACACACACACACACACACACACATATATATATATATAATATTATATATATACTATACTACTACAATTTTACAATCTTACACACACCTCCTCACACAAATATACAAATATATCAGCATCAGCATCATTTTATTTATTTGTTTATCATTATGATTATTTTAATTTCCTTATATTGTATATAATAATTAAATATAAGTGTATAATGTTTATGTTATATTACTCCACATGTCTAATAATAATAATAATAATAATAATAATAATAATAATAATAATAATAATAATAATAATAATAATAATAATAATAATAATAATGATAATGATGCATTTTAGGCAAGGAACACATCACGGAAATTTCACTTTATTCATTGTATTCACGTTTTGTACTACGTGAAAAATCCAGCGGCGATAATAGAGGCTGCGTATAACTGTTTGGAAGAGGGCGGTATGATGCTCATAATTCACGCTGCAGGTAAGTGATAGTGCATCTTTCCCAGACTGTATTATTTAATTCCTTTTAATTTAGAAAATAAAAAATAATACTGGGAACCATACCAGCCTATTTTAATACATAGTATTTAAGTTAAAATAGCACTTTTGAAACTAGCTTGCGTCAACAATTACCTTAACTAATCTCAAAGGTGTTACTTTAGCATTAATTACTAAAATAATATGTAATATACAATTAAGGTTTACAGTATACTGTACTGTCTAAAATAGGTCACTAAATTTAAGCAGCAAAGTTCAATATTAGAATTTCTCATGCCTACTGGTTATTTTTATACCAAGAATCAAATGAGAAAAAAAAAATTTTCTTTGCAAATTGTTCTAAAATTCTTCTTCCATAGACTAAAACCGTTTACATAGAAATCGGCAAGTCAATGAAGTTCGTATTATCCGATCGATTGTTCTTAAATTTAAAATTCTATCATTGAATTTATGCATTTTTTTTCTTTAAAACATCTAAATAATGTTTAACATATTTTAAATACGGTAACGTACTTAACTGTAAATGAAAGTTGTACCGTATGATTTTCCAATAACATCTTTCAAACGATTTAGAAACCAAAACTGAATTGCATTGAATTGAAATGAATTACTTTATTCAGATCATATACAAATCAGGTGATGCCGACGTGAAGGCGACATTAAACTCTTACTAATTTTTAAAAGCATAATCAACAATAATGTTTATAATATGCCTAAGAAATATTAAAATATGATATAGCTTTTGAAATTAAACTTTCAATGGGTCTCTGGAGGATAAAATTTAGATTTATCCTATTTTTTAGATAAGTTTCAGCAATGGCAGGTGTGGTGTTTGCCGACACACAATTACATTTACTCTCTAAGCACCCAGAAGCTACCGTACAGCTTTCTAATTCATCAGCTTGTCGACTGTGGAAACGATGAAAACCGAAAGAATATTATTGTATTTTCATTGGACTACAGTATACAATACATGATACAATAAACAACTATAGCTCATTGTGTTAGTAAAACGGTAGTAGACAAACGGAAAGGGAAAAATAAATATGATGGTAGAACATGTGTATTTTTTTTTTCTTTTTAGCATCGCATGGCATTAATCACGTTAAGAACACGTTTGGTGCTAAATTGTTTGCCAGCCCACCGAAGTACACTCCAAACGGCAGCCAGTTAGAAAAACTGGTACATGATCTTGGTTACAAGTACTCTAGTGATATCATAAACGCGAAGCTTGACATGACCGAGTGCCAGAATCCAGCCTCACAGAACGGCAACCTAATCTGGGATTTTATCACTCACGTCGCCAGCTTTACTGAAAACGCGTCACCAGAAATCAAAGGCGCCATCAACGACGTTACAAAAAGCGAATTTTGCTATAGAAACGGTGGTAAAGTATTCATGAACATCGATAGCTCAGTTTTAATCATAGTAAAATAATTAAATTATTTGCAGGTTGTTTATTTCAAACGGGCTAATTTTATGCAATTTGAATCACCTAATAAGTACATAGTTCAAAGTTTTTGTTTGTTTGTTTGTTTTTTGTTTTTTTCTGGTAGACAGGGTAAACCACAGATGAACTTGGTTTGATTCTTATAAAAATGATCTCGTTTGTAGAGGACATGATCTGGAAACATTAGGATATGTAAAGTTAAGTGAGATTGCTAAAAGTAGAAGGATATGGTCAGACTTTAAATTATTAAGAAAGTTAGATGACAGACTAACAAGAATTTGAATGTGAAGTTTCAGTTTTTAAGTTAAGCCTTTAGTATATATGTCTATAAAAGCTAAAGAACACTGTAAAGAGTAACCATCAGCTATAAGCCTATGTTGGGATTTGTTTAAAGAATAGTAATAATATCATAATAACTTAATACCACACACACTTTTTATTTTTCAACGAATTCTATATTTATTTATTTCGTTGTCTTTTGACCAGATGTGAACTTTCACTTCAGCATTTTGATAAAGTATAGCGCCTCCTATGCTACAGTTATTTACTAACAACACATTGTCAACAAATATAAACGATTGCCTCGGTTAGATAATAATATAGATTTGACCAGTTGATGCTAGAAATAATATAGAAACATTTATACTTTATGTGAATACAAATATACAGAATTAGGAATCTGGAATCGCACAGTGGTATGAATCGTGCATGTTAAATAGGCGCCTTTGTAAATCCAACTTAGGCCTAGGGCCATTATTAATATATATTATTAATATTATTATCAGACCTATTACTAATGAATGAAAATAATAGTCTAGGGCAGAGTAAGAAACCATTTTGAGTAAATAATATTAGATACGTGTATGTACATTTTCTTTTTGTTTATTTTGACGAATTTTATAGAAAAAATTAAAAACAATATTTTATTTTTAAACGAAAGACGACGGTAACAAATTTTGACCAAACACAAAAAAATCAGTTGTATTATGATTAGCATCGTAAAAGTATAAATTATATGTATATTTCTTTAAATTAGACCGAAATAAACAAAAGTTTATCAAAAGCCTTGTTCACCACTATGTGCTAGTTGTTACTCCAGTCGTCTGATAACTGGTAGCACTTGCAACAGGTGTGCACCTAGACTTGGTTCCAGTCCCTAATTGTTGTCTTAATCAGTGAAAAAGTATTCAAAATAAATAAATTTTATCACTAATGGTGTTCAATATTACTTATTTGCATGGCGTTCCATACCATACTTTTTTTTATGGGATTTTGGATGGGATTTTTAATGCCTACACATTCAAATTCAACAACATACAGTATCAAAAATAGATTTTGGTGGCGCTCTCCGAAATATGGAACACAGGGAAAAGTCAATAAATAAAAAATAAAAAATGTGGCAAGTCTAGTGTGCACCGTGCCCCGAAGCAGAAAAGCAAGTATTTTATACTTATTTTGGTCTAATATAAAGAAATCTACATACAGTATATACAGTATCAACAAGACCAGATGAAATTCTTTGAAACAACGTAGAAGTATTTCAGATAATAAACATTTTTGACAAGTAACTAGAAAGTCCAATAATGAAAATAATAATTTTAACAAAAATAATAATTTTAACAACAATAATAACAATAAGAATAATAACATATTATGATAATACTAATTATATTAAAACGTAATAATTATTAATATGATATTTGATTGTGATGGTAATAATATTAATAGCATTAATAATAATAATAATAACAATAATAATTACAATAATACAATAACACGGTAGCTCGGAGAGTTAAATATAGTATATCTCCACATGTTGCCAGGATTTAAATTATGATATAGAATACCAAGCAAATCTATAATCCGACAGAAAGGGTTTGGGATGCCTTTACATATTGTGGGGGTCCAGCTCCCCGGAGGCTTAGAGTTTCAGCTGCTTATCTATACCATTTTCACACTTGGTTAGTGAATTTTTGACTGCTACCGTCTTGTTATAAATAAAATCCAGAAAGACGTTATGGGAGTAAACATCGATCTACCTCCTATAAGATCTCTGACGATCTCTGTACAATTAGGCTTAGGATAGACCTACTAACCAGCGAACATAATATTTACCATTTCTAAACGTCAGTCTCTGAGATCGAATCATGCAATTTTCAAGATCGTTTTCTTAAAATTAAAAAAACAAATCTACTCTCAAACCACACGATGAAACCAACATAATAGAATCACTTTCGTCTTGTAAGTGGCCACATGGAGCTTTCGCTTTTGCACGCGTCTATACAGTAATCTCAAACCATGAGGATACCAACTTTGATTTCACTGTTCCCTGCTTTGACCTATAACTCGTCCGTTTCTATCGTGCATTCTGTGAATAAATAGCGGAAATTCATTACAGGCGACGACTAGAATTTCAGACTCCGCATGCGCAGATGACGCTCGTGACGTCACAGCGTCCAGATCTTACTATCATTGCGAAATCGAAAGCTCCATATTAAATTTCCTTTGGATGAAAATAAATTAATAATAAAATAAAATACTGACCCAGCGTTCGGCAGAATAATGAATGTAGGCCTATTAATTCTGCTAAGCAAAGAACGTAGGCCAACTACTCTACGGATCTTAGACCAATTCATTTTATCATTTCAACTGCGTATCGAGTGATCTGCATCTCCCGTTTGACATCCCCACCTGCCCGCGACGGCGTAACATATTTATATGCCTGAAGTGATATATAAACTTAAAACCCTCAATCTATCATTTTATGTTTGTATTGAGTCGTTCTACTCATATGTTATTTGTATAATTGGAATTAAACTTTATGTGGATGAGCCTTTAGGAATTAAATCTATGTTACAAGATAATAATAATTTACTAATGTAATAAGAAGTCAGTGACGATAATAATATAGATAATAATATAAATAATAATATAAAATAATAATAATACACATAATAATACACAATAATTTTAAAATATAATAATATAAATATTATTATAGTTTATGTTTATTTTAAAATATTGTAATAATATAAATAATAATAATGATAATAATAATAATAATGATAATAATAATGATAATAATAAT